GAGAGGGAGAGGGAGAGGGAGAGGGAGAGGGAGAGGGAGAGGGAGAGGGAGAAGGAGAGAGAGGGGAGGGAGGAGAAAGAGTGAACGAGCCAGAGAAAAAGAAGATATTAGTTTGCCGTCTATTAGTATAATTTGGACAGTTACAAGATTTCTTCTAACAGAACGTTGCAACTTTTATTCACTTTTTTGTGACACTACTTATTACATTATACCTTTAATCTCTTGATCGGATTGAATTTTTAATTTAAACTTTTGCTTCATATATTAAATCACCGATCACATTTCCACTTGGACCATAATTGCAAACTACGAAGTAATACTTCCATTCACCATCCATTGTGTAATATTCTATTTGTCCGCAACCTATCTTTGTTGTGTTAGCCCAGACTATTTGGGTATACGAAGTTGATTCCGAAGTATCTCTACAAGTAAATTATTTTACAGATACATTAAGAAATGTATTGCAAATGTATTGCACCTTCCCAGATACTTTGATCTACATAGTATTGTGTATATATTTACAAGGTATCCCACTTAAAATTAGCCAGCCACATCTCGGGAAATATGAAATAAATACAATCGTACAACCTCCACCTCCACGTAGTACACTTTGGTTATAATGTTAATGCCGACGATACTGTAACTTTCAAGTTTTATAATTCTAAAAGTAATTAACGAAAGACATTTTATTTAGTGTTTTGACAAGCTCTTGAAGCAGGCTACAAGAACGTGTAATAAAAAAAATGGAGGTTTTCATTTAAAACGTTTAACATGATCTTGATGCTGTTCATACTGGTATTGCTATTCCAGTAAATATGATGACGTTATTTATCGTCATTTTTTCGTTAAAAAGATGACAAGTAACATCATCATGTTTACTGGGATGTAATGCGTCAATTAAACCCTTCTGTATTCAACATTTTTATCTTGCATATTTTTTAAGTAATTTAGGAGTCCCAAACTGTGATATATGTGACATATCTTTACATTAGAAAGTTTTGATGCGATCTGAAAAACTAATTTATATTCTACGATATTTATTAGTATGTGTAAAATATGTTACTATATACAGGGTGAGTCACAACATTTCTGCTAGAGCTCGTGAGAAGGTAGAACGGATCGAGATAAACAGAAAAGTCCTGAACCATTTGCAATTTTCGCAATAGTTAACGAGTAATTAATTATCGAAAATTGTCGTCTTTGTCCTGCCCACTGTCCAATTCGAGCGCGTGGCGAGATGTGACCGCACGGCGATCGATATTGCCAGGCGAGGGGCGGGGACGCGAGACGCGGGAGCGGCGACGTAAGCTCGCCGGCAACGGCGCGCTGC